GAGAAAACAAGAAACTCGTAGACCTTAACCCTTTGCGGCACAGTGTGTCCGGTCTGAACACACCTAAAAATTTCCTTCTGTACGCACAGAAAAATTGAATGAAAAAGTATTTATAGGTTACTATAGGTTACTCTGAACCTTCTTTATTTATAGTAGATGGCAGCTCAACACAAACCAGTCCATATATTTTAGCCACGTTTAGTTTTTTAAGACCCTCATTTTTCAAAGAAATCTTCCAGTTTTTTTTTTAGGGTATAAAAGGAATAGTTTGAAAAGAAATTTCTATGTTATTTTTTGGCTGTATGCTAATCTCCTTATTCTATATTAGTTTTAAATTTTTACCTTGAAATCTTGCCTAAACTCAAACGGGCTCACCAATCATCTAGGACAACTGAGAGTCTGTATTCTTTGTTTCTCCGCATCTCATCGGTCAGTTCATTGACAACAATGCTCGTTTCAGCACTCTTTCCGAAGCTCTATTCAATCAATGTGCCCACTTTGGGCACACCCACAGAATTAAACGATAAGTGCTATCTTCACAAAATTTTATTTGTGTGCTCCTCTAGGCTTAATTAGACTGCCTAACTTTTTTTTTTTAAATCAAAACTCCAACTTTACAAGGTAGCGTGAAGGAAAGGGTTAAGGAATGGTTTGGTTTGGTTTATTGAGATTACGGCAAAGCACACATTAGAGCTATCTGCCTAAGGGGAGGGATGCCTTCGTGGAGAACTTTTTAAGGGAAACTGGCTCGTATACACGTTACACATGGGGAAAACCACAAAAACGCCCATACAGCCAGCCCGTTCACGGGATTCAAACCTCGGACCGAACTACCAGTGTTCAGCGACTTTACCGCTCGGCCGCTGGTGGGCCCGGTTAAGGAATGAAATTGGCATTTCAACAAGAGACTGAGAAACTGATCATTTTTATGTAATTAAACTAATTTATTGTAGTGATTTTGCCACGCAAGGTAGATAGCTGTTCATTCCTCGTAAAGATATGAGACAGTCTGCTGTCATCTTGGCAATGAAGGTGTCGTTATTGATGTTGTTTCGTTTAGGAAAATTCACATAGTGTTGGTATACTCATGGGTCGGTTTAACACAGAAATTCAGAAAATTTCCAGGTAAAATGTAGCCAGGTTTTAAGATATCTGCAATCTGACTGCGAACAAACTGAGTGATATTCCTGCTTTTAACTAACTTAAACCTCAATAATTCTGATCCGCCTTGGTCTTTCCAGATTTTAACACGAATTTGGTGTTCAGAAGTTTGGTGTTCAGAAGGAATATATTAATTTTCTACCTGCACGTTCAGAGTCGGGGATTTAAGTCGAGAGTTCTATTGGAGTCGGCGAGTAGAATGCACGACAGATCACTGCTGTGTATCATTTCTGTCAAAACTGCACCGAAGTATGAGTAATTTTGCAATATCAGCAAAAACCCAGTTAGCTGCTCTAAATATCTTTCTGTACACTGATAATGAGTGCAGTCTGATCTGTTGAGCCAGTTCGGGTTGCGGTTTAGCAGGCATAAATAACTTTCCGCTGGGATTGGCACAAATTCTATTTGGTTTATATTCAAGGCCTAGCAGTTCAGACGGGAAAGTCGTTAGTGACTCTGACTACCGTACCGAAAAGCCTGGGTTCGATTTCCGTAGAAGGCATGCATGTAAATGGTCTGCCCTTTCATAGGAGGCGACGGTGGGGTACCTAGTAGGTGCCTCTATAATAAAACGATCACAGCTTCCGGCTTTAGAAGCGGAACAACGCTTATAATGGCTAGTGCCCGCTATTTTTGAAAAAAAAAAAAATCAATTCCCAGTTCCATCTCGGCAATCTACATGTGTGCAGATTCATAGGACGTAAATGTATCAGCATGGATATTCACCAATTTCATAATAACAATGCATTCATAATTTAGAATTCATCAGATTTTGATCTGTGCCATTTACATTTTTTTTTCATAAAATGTCCTTTAAATTTTGAATCTTTATAAATTTGAAGAGAAATATTATTCTGATAATGTTCTTCGTTTGATTTATCTATTTTAATTGTAATTAATTTCAAATGTTAGATGCGTAAGCCATTCACATAAAATAATTATAATTATTATTTTTTAAAATCAGTGTTTTACTATTCATTAACTCCAATGATTAGACAGTTTTCATATTTATAATCATTATGAGTTCTAAAAGGCCAAATAACGTACTATAATTTTGTTGGATTGCTTATTTCTGTTAAGATATTTGTATATAATAATTTGCTCTGTTATTTTTAAACTAATCAATTTTTAGACCTGTCATTTTCTAACCCTTAGAAATCTTAATCTTCCTTCTGTAAATTAATTGCTTGAGATACTGTAAAATTTATTCGATAATATTTTTAAAGCGTGTAACAAAATCTGAACAATTTGCAATTTTAAACTAAAGTAACGTTAATTCCAGCTAGACATTAAGATAAATTCAGATTTGAGGGGTGTATCCTTCACAAGAAGATTCCCAAGCATCTAAAGAAAACGTTGGTTCTATTAAACTAATCTGTGATTTGAAAGCCCATCGGCAAGTATATTCAGAAGCTATCTAATCGATCCATTAGCCCTATAAAGGTAGATAATGCATGTTGTCTACAGCCGATAGTCCTATAAAGGAAGATATCTAGTTGCCTACGGTCGATAGTTCTATAAAAGAAGATAAACTTGTTGCCTACGGCCAATAGTCCTATAAAGGTAAATATACACTCATGTCCATAAATTAACGATAATGCAAAATCAGGCAAAGGAAGAGTTAGAAGCAAAACAAATTTGACTTATTTGTAAAGCTTATTTATTAAACAAAAGGTAAAGAGAAAAAAAAATGCTATATGTTAGATATTATTAAAAAAATTAGCGATTTTTTCTCCCTGGAGCAAATTACAAAAAAAAACCTATTTACAAAAAACCAATATTACATGGTTCGTATGATTGTTAATACATTGTATGTCTCCCAGACGATGCAATATAGTCCGTACAACGCCTGGGCATGCTGAGTATCAAATTATCGATCTGATCTTGGGGGATATTACACCACTCAAAAAGCAATGCTTTCCGAAGTTCCGGTAGACATGTAGGATGAGGTTGACGGGTTGCAACTCGTCGGCCAAGGAAGTCCCACACGTGCTCTACTGGATTCAAATCCGGTGAGAATGCTGGCCAGTCCATACGGGTGATATCCTCCGATTGAAGGCATTCGCTTACGATGTTTGCACGGTGAGGACGGGCGTTGTCCTCCATAAACACAATTTGTGCGCTCATGGCGCCCCGAAACAAACGTACATGTTGTTCCAAAATGACGTCCCGATATATTTGCCTTGTCATGGTTCCAATTTGAACATGCAGGTCAGTTCTGGAACCCAGAATAATTCCACCCCAAACGAGCACTCCTGCACCACCGTAACGGTGTCGTTTAGTGATGTTTTCTTGGTGGTAACGGGTGAGTTGCAGTAAGTGGAACGCATCTGACAGGTCTACGAGCATATAGACCAATCTGCCCTAAGCGTCTGTACACGGTCTGCCTTGAAATTGTCGTACCAGTGGCTGAAGAGAGCTGACGAGACAGGTCTGAGGCTGTGCTCCGCCTGTTTCTTTTGGCATATTCATGCCAAATACCGGTCCTCATTAGGCGTTGTAACTCTGGGGCGACCTGTGCTGTAACGTCTACTTACATTACCATCATCTTGGAATCGTTGCCAAAGCCTGGAGATGACACTCTGGGCAATTCCAAGTTCGTCTGATACTTCCAGTTGGGTACTCCCACATTCCAGACGGCCGATAATTCTACCACGTAAAAATCATCCAAATGCGTCCTTTGTGCCATAACTATTCGGTTATTGCACTGAAGTGCTTATAAAGCGCCTGCGAACAATTTTACTTCCTTGCCTGTATTCCTTATATATCACTCTCTTACTCTCGTCATCGTGACGTATCATCGGTGTCATCTGGTTACTTCCTGAAATTTGCATATGATTCTTGAAGATGTGTGTAGTGATTTTACAGGTGATATATTTATTTTAGAGTTCGATTTTCGCGTGACTCCGAATTATCCTTAATTTATGGACATGAGTGTACTTGCTGCCTATGGCGGATAAAAAAGCATGCGGTTGCATGCATTTAGCTTTATTGAAAAATTTCACCTTTAAAGCGCCATTTGCGAATCAGTGATACACACCATGCTGTCGAACGCAATCGTTACTCGCTACGTGTTGTCAGCAACCAGTTTCTCTCCCATTAGCATCTAGTAAAGTCACACCTGAAACTGATTGCCTCTTCCATATCATCGAGGAAGAAATTTGTAATATTCTCATAATCAAAGAAATATCTTCTAAAGGTCGAATGAATAAAACTAGCGAATGCTACGAGGATCACTCCAAATTCGATGCCTAACAAATCAAGCTGGGTACATGGAGTATTATTTTTGTATGAATCTGTAGGTTTCTAAGATAACGGTTCCTAATCTATGGTGGCATCACCCCGAAGGTTGCGAATCGAAACTTAACGGTATATCATAGAGAGTTGTTGTTCAGAGTAATAGGTGGGAAAACTAATTAAGTCTTATATTGGTGTATAGAGTAAGTAAAAGTCGGTAACCACTTCTCTTAAAGCAAAACGAATGTATGATTCCCCATTCGATAGCCTTTGCGTGATTTGGCCCAATAAATTTCCTAACTTCGTTTAACCAAACTTGTAAAGAATTCTTCAGTTAACACTTTTACCTCCAAAATATGTAAAAGAAGTTACATTCCTCGTTATGGATACATTTTATTACATATATTTTAAAGTTACCTCTGTTCCTGAAATATGGAAAAATTTAACTATTGTAATAAAATGTTTTATTTTTTAAATGTTGTCACTTCTTTCAATCTGAATATCCTATGCATGTAATTCTGTACATATATATATTACAATTCTTTTTCCTGTGTGAAAAATCAGAGACTTTCAACCAGAACATGTTTGTTTTTTAATTTTAGCACATTTTAGACTTTGTTACAGAAGTTCGGAACACAAAAAGAAAGAACAACAGCATCATGGGAGTTGAAAAACCTTCTTTTCTATGTTGATTTTCTGAAAAGGAGTGATTGATCTTTAAGAAAAACCTTCATCTGTCTGTTTTGATTGATATTTTTATAGTGCGCTGTCTGGAACAGACAATAATGTAATTTAATAAAAGTTATTTTCTGTTTTTATTCAAGCTAAAAAGTTCTTTAGTTTTTACTCATTCCTATATTCAGACTTTAATTCAATCTATTAAAGTCTTGCTTGCTAAAACCTTTTTGCAACGGTTTCATAAAATAGATTACAATCTCTTGAAAGGTATTTTATTTTTGTTTGAAGATAATTACAAAACTAAAAAAGAGAGAAGCATTCAAATTCTCAGACATAAAACGATTTTTACATTATATCCAACACCCAACTCAACTTTAACACCCAACTCAAGTTTCAATTGTTAATTTAGACTTAGCGATAATTCGCTTAACGTTTATCAAAAGTTTGAACACTTTGGGTGATCTCAAAGAAAACTAAACTCTACAAAGTGCTCAATAATTTAGTTTAAAATTACAATTAAAGTGTATTTTATGACACCTCTGCATACTACTAGGCTGCCTATATTAATTGAAATTCTTGATTCTTTGCTAATTAGTATCAAATTATGCAAAAAAGCAATCTTAACTTAACATAATATTTGTTTATAACAATAGTTCGAATCTATTATAAATTAGTAGTATGTTGCTATCAGGTGCCTTGAAGATGTTACAAATGTAATGCTTCAAAGTTAAAATGATATGATATATGAATATGAACGTATTTTCTGGTTTTATTAATTTGAGAAAAGGAAAACATTTTTTTCTATAATCATGCATAATTTAAACTACTGATGCAAGCAGAAATGATAATATACTAACTAGGACTGACCTCCAATTCAAGCTCCTCTAACAAACTTTCATCAGGAGCAATTTTCCCCATTTTATGACGCATTTTTCTGGCAGCTCTTTCTCCAGCTTCAGTTGCTCCTTCCATGTAACCTGGCCATTTCACCGGATTTCGGTACCTGCGATATGCAGTTTGGCTATAGGTGCCCATATACAACTACTCCAAACTGGATGATCTGACCATTTTACACTGGAGGAATATTGATCCAGTTATTTAAATCTCTCGATTAAAATGTTAATTTTCACATAGATTTTTTACAAATGAGTATAAATAAACTTTACTTAATAACCTCGAAGAAACTATAAGTACTACTGTAACCTTCAAAACACTAAACTTGTAGAGACATTAGGTATTTTTGGAAAAGCCGGAGAGATGAAAAATAGCAAACGCCTTCGCCGGGAATCGAACCACGGACCTCTGGAATACCGGCCCAGCGTGCAGAACCACTACACCACGAAGGCACACTAGGAAAGCGGGAGAAATACCTCATATACTCGTCCCTGTTCGGGCGCCACTATAGAAACATTAGGTTAATTGGAAGCCGGCAAGATGAAAAATAGCAAACGCCTTCGCCGGGAATCGAACCACGGACCTCTGGAATACCGGTCCAGCGTGCAGAACCACTACACCGCGAAGGCACGCTAGGAAAGTGGGAGAAATACCTTATAAGCTAATCGGGAAAACTCTTTAAGAAACTTCTCTTTATTTTTTGAATTTTGCCGGTACTCTTCTGTTATCGGGACCGGATTCAGAGATGTATACATGTACGCATGTATGGATAGATGAATGTGCGTATATATGTGTATATATACACACACATACATGCGTACAAATATATACATGCATACATGAACACATACATCCATCCATACATGCAAATACTACACACGCATAGTCATAAGACACATATCAACCAGATAATGGACCACAGTCTTGCATCTGACGGTCAGAAGTACAGTTGTGCCACCAATATTGCCTAATACTAAAGGAAAGATTCAAGATTCTTTGGATTACGAAACTATGCACAGAACAAGTGGTATGTGAATCACACGAAAACTGTCATCATTATGCAACAAGCATGACTAACTGAGAATCGATTTTCCTTGAGTTCATCATCAAAAAGGGACAACAAACCAGCACTGCAAAATGTTGCAGAAGTAACAGCTAGGTTATCAGCCAGAAATTCGATTTCCTTAGCATGTCCAAACCCGATGAATCCTTGATAATTCGCCAAGAAAGTAGAAATTGCGATCTCGATAATAGAAATAAACCATTTTCTGGCCTATTCTCTTCCTGTGTTCTTCCAATTTCCACTTGTGTGAGATTGTGAACAAAATAATATTTAGGCCTTTCGTACGCAGCAGTTCACAAGCACGTGGGCACATGTAACACACATTAAACAAACATCTGGCACGCGGTTGGTGGATTCAGTCCGGCTACTCGAGCTAACGCCTACAACTAAACCCATAATATTAATATATAAATCAGCTTGCTAAATCGCAGCTGAACCCAGCAGCGCTCTCAAAGTGCAATTAACACCTATGAAGTTCTTGACGCAATGTCAGGTTAATCTTGGGACTATCAGACGGCAGCATCGTTGCTTTGAAGAACGGTACTGCCATCTCATACTATATTTTTTAGTACATTTTCTCAAAAAAGAAAAGAAAAAAGGGGGGAAAAATAAAAACTGAATTCATGCTTTAACTATATTTAAATAACAACAATCCTGATTTTAAACATCAAATGCAGTGGCTTCGGTAGTTAATTTTTGGTGTTTGTTACCTAATTCACCTGTTTTAATAAATTATGACTTAATTTCTATGTAAATGTCAATTATAATGATTTGCGCATCCATTCTTTGATGCAGTGTGCTTCTATGGTACAATGTTTTCAATAAATTATAATTTAATTTCTGAGTAAGAATACATCTTTTCTTTAACGAAGTGTACTTTTATTCCGCTATATTTTTAATAAATTAGAATTCAATTTCTATGTCAATATAAATTATAATGATTGTATAAACTTTCTTTAATGCAGTGTACTTGAATGCTGCTTGATATATAATAACGTTGATTATCAAAGATATACTGTTGTAAATTTTTTACAATACTATAAAAATTATAAATAGTATTAAAAAAAAAGAAACGTAAGTGCTCAGGTATTTCATGTGTGTATTTTATCCTATGCACGTTTCTCATCCAGATAACTTAAGTGTCGGTGTTGTATTAGTGCTTGCTATGTAAATCATTGTAAAATTGACAAGGTTCCCAATTCTAAAATGTTTTAAAAGATTACTTTTAACTTATTGCATGTTTCTGTACATGGTTGTTAGTTTAAATAAAGAAGTGAAGTTCTCCATGTTAATCTATAATTTTCGTAAAGTTTCTCATTAGCACATGCTAACAGTGTGACGAACCTGCATTTATCCATGGCGGCCCGTAGAGCAATCACGAAACATCCGGTGGTTCAGTTTTCTAATACTATTTATTATCCGTTATATTTACATATTTACAACTGTCCTATTGTTACCTTCACAGAAATCATGTTGCCTAATCAAACGACATTTCGTTTCTACTTACATGCATTGCGCTACTGCCAAGCAGCGCCCTCTACTTCTCTCTTTACAACACTCCCCACCTGTGAACTCTTTAAGTTCACACAAACCGAATACAAAATAAACCAGTATTTCTAAATCAAACACAACATTTGAATACTCTATAAACTACATCAAATTACAAATAACAATTAAGTAATGTTTAAACACGTTAAATCAACTTATAAAGTAATTACTAAATAAGAAACATTATACTAAATCAAAATTCGCAAGAATTATATAAACTAAACTACATTTAGCAACAATCAATAAAGATATTCAGAAGATGATATATGTGCAAACAACAAATTAGATTATTACACTGTAACTCTTTACTACTAATTATGCACTTCAAGGTTGTACAGCAATTGTACTGGTCTCTTTAGATTACCTGTTTGAGTTTTAATGAGACACGAGCGAACCTGACCATCTCTGCCAGGATAAGTTTCTATTATCTTACCTAGTGTCCACAAATTCCTAGGTAAACGGTCGTCATGTACAAGGACTACGTCATTAACATTAAAGTGACCAGACACTTTAGTAGGTGGACATAAATTCACAGATCTTAAAGAAAGCAAGTAATCCTTCCTCCACCTATTCCAAAAGTGGTTTAACAAGGTTTGTTGATGTTTATACCTTTTGATCAAGGAATGTCTAGACCCAATCAAGTCTTCTCTGCACACTCTTGTAACTGGAAGAGAAAGTAAACGTTTACCAATTAAAAAAATGAGCAGGAGTTAGCGGTGAGGGTTCTGAAGGGTCATTGTAGACATACGTTATGGGTCTTGAATTAATTATGGCTTCGATTTCTACGAAGACTGTTTCTAGCTCATTCAAACAGAGAGACTAGAACGTCCAACTATTTTCCTTAAACAAGTTTTGATCGTTCTAAAATGCCTTTCCCAGAACCCTCCCCACCATGCTCCTTTTTCCACAATAAACTTCCATGTTATACCGTGGGAAGAAAACAAATTTTGTACAGATGGATGTTGAATACACTTCCAAATTTTTCGCAACTCGAGATCAGCACATTTGAATGTCTTGGCATTGTCAGAATATATCGTTGAGCACAATCCACGACGAGAAATAAACCTGCGAAACGCAAGCATGAAATTCTCCACGCTCATAGAAGGGACAAGTTCTAGATGTAAAGCTCGAGTTGTAGCACATGTAAACAAAAGCAGATAATGTTTATTCTTGCTGTCCTTTGTAAAAAAGGGACCAGCATAATCCAGCCCTGTTACAGAAAATGGAGATGATTGAAGAACACGATCAGGTGGTAAAGGAGCGGTTTCCTGTGTACCGGCACGCACCTTGTATCGTTTACACAAAAAGCACTTACTTAACGTGGACTTGACGAATTGGCGTCCTTTTATGATCCAAAACTTTTCTCTAATATCAGCTAAGGTAGCTTCGACTCCAGCATGAAACAATTTGTTATGAGACTCAAAAATTACTAGTTCACTGTATCTATCTTTATAAGGTAACAGCCATGGGTGTTTTTCTTCGAAAGCAAAGTCTGAGAATTGAAGTCTGCCCTTTAAACGCAGAAGACCATGGGTATCCAATTCTGGGTTAAGTGAATAAATCGACGATGTCTTTTCTAAGCATTTTCCACTTGATAGATCTAGAATCTCTTTCGCAAAGTATTTTCGCTGTGCAACTTTTACCCAAT